CTGTGTTTGAGCACAAACTTGCTATCCTTTCTCTCTCTTTTCCTTGTGTACGTTATGCTTTTGAGCTGTGGGTGATGGAGGAGTATGCAGGTGGTTTATCAAGGGAAAAGTGCAATTGGACTAAGAAATATACTATGTGTCGTTTAGGTCTTTTTGATGGCTTGTTCCAGCCAGCGATTGCTTGGAGGAATCAAATAGTCTGTCGTTGTCAAGCTTGGACTGGTGGGCCAAAAAATACTCTATATCTGTTCGATCCTATTTCTGCTGAATGTAGGACTGTTACTATCGGTGAACAGTTTGGTGGTGTTTTCAATTTTAGTGAAAGCCTTGTATCGTTGAGCAGCAACAACATTGAAGAGCCTTGATCTTAACTCTTAACTATCATATTGCAGATTTACTTAGTTGGAACACTTCTGGTAGAAATAAGCCCATAGTAGTTTGTACTTTATAACCGTATCTATAATTCTAATTCTTGTTTGTCCTTTATGTCATTGAGAGTTATTAAATGTATAGACTTCATCTGACCTATCTATAACAACTAATCGTTCTGTTTTCTGAGGCATGTATAATTTGATTGCCTGTGACGGGTTAATTATTTTAGGCATGCTGTCTTAATGATCTTTTGATGGTTTTATATCATAGAAAGTGGGCATAAATGATGTGAATTTGAGTTTCTTGCATTTTCAATGGTGGCTGAGGACAGTATTAGTAGTCTCATGTGAAGTTCAACCTACAGCTCCTCTATTATTTTATGCTATTCCAATTATGCTTACAAGTCACAGGGACCCTAATGCATTATTGGTTGAAAGATGAGGTTAAAATCAATGAACTTATAGCGTACCTACATGAAAGGAAATTTTAAAAGGATCAGATGTTCGGAAAATATGGTCTTTTTTTCCTGCTGCTGTTGCAGAACCATTATGAATTCAAATTCCATATGTCTGGGATCTTTAACTTTGTTAAACCTGTCTATGATGCTTGCAGATTGTTCAATTTTGTTTCAAAGATCAAGAGATATTTCTAGTGCACCATGGATTATTTGGGACTTGTTATTGATGAATGTGAAGTGGAGAATGATGAACCGAAAACTGGTTTTATCTTATTGTTTTTTGTTATCATTCTCACGACTTATACTAACGAATTTATGGTGTTTGCTACCTGTAGATGCAATGTGATCCTTTTGTTCTCACACTGTTTTTTCAATTTGACAAGGAAATATAATTTAGTTTCTTGTATGGGTTGTTTGGGATTTGCTGTCTTTTTGCTACACTAATCTTTTAAGTTTCCAGTTCAAGCACCGATCAAGTGCCAAAAGTGAGATGATGAGAACACAATGAAATAAACAAGAGGTTTCCATTTTAGGAAAATCCATAGGAGACCCAAAGATGTGCCATTTTTTTAGCACCAAACATATGATGTTGGATGAATATGGAACAATTTTCATCAAAAAGATGAATGATGCAATTTCCATTCTGATTGGGAAACTTGAATAGCTGATGAAGCTTTTGCAAGTAGTTTTGTCAATTTAACAATGCTCGTTGGTTGAAACTCATAACAAATCTGGTGTATGATCTTTTCACATGAGAATTTATTTTTAGCTATTCCTTGATGAATATTGAAAGCTGCAAATTTTACCATGATTATGTTTCTTGCTAATTATATATGATTTAATTATTTATGAAGTAAAGTCGTATAGAAAGTTGTGATTCGCAATCCAGCTCAATAACAAATATCAACCAAACATAAACAATTGTTCTTGGCATAACATGCATTTAGAGATTTTGATAATCTTAACACTGTCTTCATTAGTTAAAATGCAAAACTAAAAGTAATAATCAGCCGTTTCTAAAAGCTCATTAGACGTGGCGTGCTTTATGAGAGAGACGGGGTGCTTGCTTCGCTGCTCCTAGAAAAAACATTTTTATACTTTGAGATAAAATTTTTAGTCTTTTATAACTGATTTTATCACATATTTACTTGGTAGTTGGTACATGTATAATCATTTTAAAAAGTTAAGCTAAATCGAAAAATCCTGGAATTAAAAAGAAAAGTGAAAATGTGTCATTATAAAATATAAGTACATTAGATTTTCGTGCATAATTATATATATTTATATACTCCTCTGGTCCTATTTATAAGGTAGAGAAAAAATATTTTTTTGTTTTATTAATAAGTCATGTCATTAGATTTTTACCATGATGATATCATATTGTCTTTTATTTATTATAATGCAGATATTTATTTCTTTGAAAGGAGTACATATTGGATAGGAATAAAGTTTAAAAGTTGTTATATTTTAATAAAGAATTAATGTAGTTTAGAATTTTTCTTGAGAGAGGATTATATCCGAGACCAAAATCAGCTGGCGGTTCTTTTCTATGCTGGTTCTGCGCGCCAGGTATTGCAGTGCAATTCTTTTTGTTCAATCTTTGATTATGCCCCGACGTTGAATCTAGCAACAGAGGTTAGTATCTCTCACAACCTTACCGAGCCAAAAGTAGTGTCTCGAACAGGGAGAAGTAGGATCTCAAATAGAATAGAATTTGTTGCTAATAAAAAGATACCTGTAACTTATACCTAGTGGAAAAACAAAATCGTGCCCAGTCTTTTCCAACTAATAACACTCGTATTAGTTTTCTTATTTTATTTGTTAAAATACTCAATATATTTAATATTTTTTAAGATAATATATCAAGTGCTTTGGGTATTTTTAAATGCCATGTATTTTGAATGGGCTTTATTGGAACACAAAATCCTATTGTTCATGCGAGCCGAATAATTGGTAACCTTTAGAAGCCTTGGTCTGGTTTACGAAAGTACATTTTTTTACTGTGCAGCCAAAGGACTTCGCACCGGGTGTTAATGCGACATAAATCTTTTTCCAAGAGGGGTCATTGTTGATTCATTAAAATTAAAGCAATGGTTTGTCTTTCTAGTTCTTTATGGCGGTGGTGCACTGAACATGAAACATTCAAAACTAGAAGGCATGCGTACCCTTTTCTGTAAAATACATAAAATATTTTAATCAGCCACTATCCATACAATGCCATTCCTTTGATAATTTGACTTTGGGTTGATTCTAGTTTGAATTGCTAATTCTTAAATTACTATCTTGACCAATTCAATTACTAGTCTGATTTACAACACCTTACTAAATATTATTTTCAGCCATAATTATAAGAGCTAGTTGATTAGTTTGAGGAGATTAACAAAATAAGTTAAGTTAATTATTTATAATGAATATGTGTTCTCTTTCCTAAAATATATTTATTAATCAAATGTATTAGTTAGAACTACTTTATTAGAAGGACAATGTTAAGAACAAATGCGTAAATATGATAAACAAAGCAGATTAGGATACTATATTTAGGATCAAAATAAAAGTCAAACAAGATCTTATATTAAGGACCGGATTTCTATGCAATGCCATTCTTTGGTGAAAATTGAAAAGGTCATAATGTATCCAATTTTCATTTGACTTCAAGGCGTACTTTGGTTTTTTTTTTTTTTGGCCAGAAAAGGCGTACTTTGGTTTCACATCATGTTTTCTTCCAGGTTTTCTAATCTAAATTAAAACCAAACACTGGCTAATAAGCACCCTAGTAGACGTCCTAGTTATTGACACTATTAGGTGGTTAGGTAATACGAGCATGTCACTATATATTGACTCGGTGTATTTTATGATATCTAATTTTCTCTATTCCCAACTCCATCTTCTTCTTCTTTTTTCCCCAAGGTTTTATACATGTTAGAATTTATTTCAAATTTTACAATATACTCTTAATTAATTTTAATAATTAATAATTAACGTTGTCTTGACTTTTAAAAAATAATAAAAATTAATTTATTATTTAAGAACAGTAATTAATGTTACTTTAGTTTAGATCTGAAAAAAAAATCCACTATTTGAGATTTTATGATATGTATAGACATTTTAAGACTTTTCTTTTAACTACTGCTTAAAATTAGAACAGAGCCCGTTACTGTTAGTAATTGAAAACGGGCAGCGCAGGCGCTGGAATTTGGAAATATTTATATCTATATACTATCATTAGGGTGTGTTTCGTATGAGGGAGGGAGGGGGGAACGGGAAGGGAAAAGGAAAGAATTTTAATTATTTTTTCTTGTTTGGCAACACATAAATTTTAGGAGTGGAGAGAAAATTTTAAAAAAAATTCCCTCTCCTCCCCTCCTCAATCTCCCCTCTAAAATTGGAAGGATTTGGAGGAATTGTGCAATATTTTATTATGTTGTAACCATTATACCAATATTTTGTCATGTTGTAACTGTTATGCCTATATCTTAAATAAAATAAGAGTAAAATTGTTCATGTTAAAATTTTTTTTCCTCCCGTCCCCTCATGAACCAAACAAGATAATATTAAAACTTCTCCCTTCCCCTCCCTTTTTATAAATCCAAACAAGGTAATATTAAAATCCTTCCACTTTTCTCCCCCGCTCCATTAAAATCCCTTCCCTTCCTTCTCATTAAGCCAAATAGACTCTTAATGTTTGATATAAGAATTAATTGATTAATTTAAATAAATTAGAAAATTTGTTATAAAAAAGTGTTATTTTTTCTAAAATAATTGTATTAATAATATATATTAGTTAGAATTATTATTTAATAAAATTTTTAAATAAAATACTTATTAAAAAAATAAAGTGAACTGGATTTCTATATTTATATATATTTATATTGAGCACAAGCTTCTAGTAGCGAGGTATTATAAATACTACTTCCGGTCCTTAATATAAGATCCTGTTTAACTTTTATTTTGGTTCTAAATATAAAACTCCAATTCACTTTGTCTCTCATATTTATACATTTTTTTTCAAAGCAGCTCTTCTAACAATGATAGTTCTAATCAATACACTTGATTAGTAAGGATATTTTAGGAAAAACAATACCTATTTAAGACAAATAACTAACTCAATTTACTTTCTTAATTTTTTCAAATTAGTCAACTGACTTTTATAATTAGAACCGGAGATAGTATAATGGATGGAATCCCGAAAGCCCTAATGGTCCCTTGCCGGCGTTTTTCTATGTGATTCATCGTTCCTTCTTGGCCGTAACGGATGGCGACAATCCATTTCTTCCCGATGATATCACCGCCAACATTCTCAAACGTCTTACTGTAAGATGCATTTTATGATTTCGATGTGTGTGCAAGCGTTGGAAAAATCTCATCAAAAAGCCCTTCTTTTATCGAAGCCCACCTCCAGCACTCTAGTAATCAAAGAACTTTTCTTCTATGGCCTCGGTATGGCAATGATAATCCCTTGCCGTTATATTTGAGCCATTGCGGCATTCGAATCTTTAAACGTATAAAGGCACCTGTGGCCGTCGATGGGGTTAAGATCATTGATTCAAGCAATGGCCTGCTCTGTTTCAAAATTGTTGATGATGTTAGTTCTCCTCTTTCACTTTTACTGTGGAATCTTGCGACCCGAGAGATCAGGCAGGTGCCCAGATCTGTTAACAATTTTAAGTGTGATTGCCTCTGTGGATTTGGGTTCCGTCGAATTGTTAACGATTACAAAATTGTAAAACTTCACGTTAACAAGTCTCAGAATGTTAATGGGGTGGAAGGGTATTCATTAGGTTCGGGGTCATGGAAGGAAGTTGAATTTGAAAATTTACAGGGCGTGAGCGTTACTCATGGCGGAGAAGCTGTCACTGCCAATGGAGTTATGTATTGGCTTGGGATATCTCACATGATACTTTCATTTGATCTAGCAATAGAAGTGTTCTCATTGATAGCAAAGCCTCTTTTATTCATTAGTTTGCTTTCTACACTTAGTATATTTGAAAACAAACTCGCTCTGCTTTTTCTCTCTTCAGCTTATTTCATTGAGTTGTGGGTGATGGAAGAGTGTACAAGTGGTATATCAAGGGGAAAATGGAAGTGGACTAAGACACATAGTATAGGTCCTTTTCCACGCTTGCTAAGGCCAGTGACCATTTGGAGGAACGAAGTAGTCTGGCATGATGTTGTAATGCCTAGACTTGAAGCTGAGACTGGTGAGCTAACAAATATTCTATATGTGTTCGATCTTACTTCTGAGTACCATGGATTATATGAGACTTGCACACCTGGACATGAAGCTGTCGTATCTTTGTCTGATCTCTCTACTAGTGAAATTAAGATGTCAACTACATGCAGACGCAGCGTTGGTAATGTTTTAAATTATGTAGAAAGCTTCGTCTTAATTCACAACATTCACATTGAAGAGCCTAGATTTTAAATTATTATGTTGCATATTTATTTTGCTAAGCTCTTTTGATGTTTTTTCCCCACCGACATTCCCCGACTTGTTCACTCTCGGTTTTCACAGCATTTTCAACTTTTATTTTTATACCTCTTGGTGGCTGCTAAACGTCCCCTCTCTCGCTGGTGAAACTGAAGCGAAGAACTGCCTCCAGTTTAGCTAAATGACTAATATGAAGAGCTTAAAAAATTAATTAAATTGGTTATTTAAAATAAATATGTATTAATTTTTCTAAATTATTTTTATCTAATCATGTTTCTTGGAATTACCTCTTGGCACAAACCATTTACAATCAATAAAAATATTCTGAAAAAAAGTTAGAAATTTGTTGGTTGAGGTAATATATTGATGATAAATTTAATCTCCAATTATTTCTTATATTTAGAACTAGAGGCAGTATATATGTGTATGGAATTTAAAAAAAAAACAAGAAATTAAACTTCTTTATCATTATTCCAGCCAGACATATTTTTTCATGATCTTAAATGAAATCTGAAGAAAAGTTATTAGAAATGGCTTTACTGCATAACAAAATAGTTTGAAATGAAAAATCTAGATCTTGCCACGCGTTATAATGGGTAAAATTTAGTTTAGAGTATTGTGGTCTTTATCTTTTGACTCATATTTATTATATACATATTTTATTTAAATTACTATCTTATTACATTTTTCAGTTTTTAGAGGGCCAAGTATAAAGTCAAAAGCCGACTAAGAAATAAAATATATCAACTGTGTCAAACAACCCATGAAATTTTTGTGATTTTTAAAGTAAAAAATATAATTAATTATATGTACAGAAAGAACAGCTATATGAGTTGGGACGATGATAATATTTTCTGTTCTTTGTTTTTTTCCCCCATAAAAATAGAAGTTTTGATTTCCATTCACAGTTTCGCATGCTTTCTCAAATTGAAATTAAAAAAAAAATGAATTATTGTACAGATATAGTTGGTATAAAATTTCAATTTTTCCTGAAAAAAATTTTAATTTCTGATTCTTCTAAATTCTAATGACATTTTTTAACAGAAAATTTGCTTTAAAAATTTTTAAAATTCTCACTTTTCATGAAAATTTCTTCAGAAAATATTTTAAAAAGTGTAATGCTTTGCAATTATTTAAAATAACTAAATATCAAAATATGAATTTTAAAAAATTACTGAATTGCTGCTAACTGATAAACTTACTGCATAATAAATATTAGTAGTTTTAGTCATTCACTACAATTGTATGTTGTAAAACAAAAATTTTAAAATTTTTTATTTGACAGTGAGTTAAAAATTTAATTCTTTTAGTTATAAAAAAAAAGGCATGAGCCTCAATGTTATGCATCTCTACTCAACTCACAAAAAATTCCAGCAAAATAATCAAATATTTAGAAGAGATGTTCAAAAAATTTCTACATATTTTTATCATTTCCTACAATTTTTAATGTTTTTATTACAAGATAAAATTTTTTATTAAACTTATTGCTACATTGTATAATTTAGTCTAATTAAGCGTACAACGGCGAAACGAAAAGTCGCCACAGAAAGTTGACTTTTAGTGGCGACATTTTTGACGCCGTTGAAAGTCTAGTGTCGTCGTTGAAAGAAATAGATGTTAGCCTATGATTGAAAATTGATCTGACAATTCTGCTGTATCTGATCACTACTAAAAATGAATTGATTGATTGCAAGGTTGGTATCGTTGGTCGCCGTGTGGGCCGCTCCTTCCGCTTCTCCTAGCTTTATCCTACAAGCAAAGCAGGATAATTGTTTGTGAGCGCAGGGCTACCAGTTCAGGATAGGCCAGGACTGCCCTGGACGTGTCAGGTTTAATATATATTTTTCTTATGAAAATGATAGGCAAAGATGATCCAATATTAATATAACTTAATGATTTTATTTTTTAAAAACATAATTTTTTTTTCAATTTTAAAAAATGGTATCGAAACTTAATAAGTGGTATCAGAGCATAATCAGAGCTCTAATAAGTATGGATAATTACAACATCATAATACAATCTAATACCCTCTAAAAATTAGTTTATTAAATAATATTAAAACACAAAAAAAATTTACTTTATTAAATTCAAAAAATTAGTTTAATAAATAATATTAAAACACAATAAAATTTTTTAATGATAGTGACAATGTTACAATCTTATATTTTTTTTAACAAGTATTACATCACTTTTACTTGACAATATCTTAATTGATCTTCCTGATTATATATTAATTGAGATTTAAAAAAAAATATCAATCGAATTGTTAATACAATTGTAATATATGTGCAAAGATGAATATGTGTCATCAGGGGTTCAAACTTGATTCAAGAACATTTCAAATGGACTCAACAAAATCCTTTTCTCCTCCTCTAAAATGTTGTTACCAAATATATTTATCTATATTTAGTGACTACGATCAACTCGATGTACTTCAAATCCTGTTAATAAATCCTTCAATGAAAGCTTGCATAATTGGTTCTACTAATGGCTTGATATGTTTGAAAATCGGTGATGATAGGTTTCACATATCCTCTTTCTTAGTATGCAATACAAATTAGAAAAGTTCAACCAATACTTCTAAAAATTGAGGTTAATTGCTTTTTGGATTTTGGGTTTGGTCCAAGAGATAATAATTACTATAGTGATGTTTTATGTTTCTAAGGGAACTTTGTTTATTAGATGGAGGCTTTTTTTACTATAGATAAGGTCATCTTTTTGTAAGACAATAGAATTTTTGAATTTGGAAGTTTATAGAAAGTATATCGATGACCACCTCCACTTGTGCTGCCACCTCACCTTTACCTGTCACATGTTACCACTACATAGTTCATTTCTCCAAGTGAATTCTTCATGGCTTGAAACCAGGACCTCTTCTGTGCGCGCGTGTAGCTTTATGAGTTGAGCTGCAATGAACCTGTTGACTTATTATGTAAAATTAAATATATAATATTATTTTACACAAATAATTTTATACACATATATATTATTAAAAACTAAAAATATACTATATGATAATTTTAATCATAACTATTTCAATGAAAAAACAATTTTTAAATATTTGCTTTACTATTTATTTTATAATTTTTTATTTTTAAATATATATTTTAAATATAATTCTAATTTCTAACGACACTAATTTTGAATTTTAAATCATAAATAATTTTTTTATAAATATTTTTTAAAATTATTTTTTAATTAACATTGATAAGATATACAATTTAGTCATAACTATATGATAATTTAAAAATATACTATATGATAATTTTAATCATAACTATTTTAATCAAAATTTTTTTAAAATATTTGTTTTATAATGTTTAATTTTTAAGTAAATATTTTTAATATAATTCTAATTTCTAACGATACTAATTTTGAATTTTAAATCATACATAATTTTTTATAAATATTTTTTAAATTTAGTTTTTAATTAACATTGATAAGATAACAATTTGATTATATATGTATTATATTACATTATGTTATATTATCTAATGTTATATTATATTATCTAATGTGTTTTATATATTTGAAAAAAATCATTTACAATTAGTCAAAAAAATCTTATTATTCAAAAAATAACTACTATAATAAAATCTAATAAATTATTCTATATAAAAAATTAAATGATTTGAATAGATTATGATAATCAGCATTCTCTTACTTATATATATATACTATGTAATTTATTTTCTTAAAATTCTTTATATATACCGCTTGTTTTTGTATTGAAGACCAAAATCAATCTATATCATGGGTATTAATTATATTATAATTAAATTTTATTGTTTAATGATTGAAATTCAAAATTCAATTTAATATTAGTTTGCGTTCATATAAATTTATTTTGTTTTTGAATTTCTATCATATATTATATATTTCAATATATTGTATAGATGATAAAATATTATATATTTCAATATATTAGTTTGTATAAGAAAGTTATTAATGTTCTTCTTATATTTTTTTAATTATTATTAATAATCAAGAGGAATTTATTTTAACAAAATATAAACAAGTTTTCTAAAAAATTGTCTTTTTATTTTCAATATATACATAATGATAATATGAATGATGACGATATTTTCATTAACACCAACTCCACAAATATATCAATTTATTTTATAATTAAAAATGGTTTTAAATGATTATATTCTTAATTGTTATTATATAAATTTTTGTAAGATTATAATTTAAAATAATAAAATTTAAAATTAGTGATGGATTAGCGATGAAATTATGACAGAATAGAATTAGCGACAGAATTAGTGACAAAAACTTATGTGATAAACAATTTAGCAACGGAAATTTCTAATGAAAAAATTCCATCGCTAAATATTTATTGACGGATTTTTCGACGGATTAGCTACGGAATTTAGCGACAGATAGAAATTCCATCGCTAATCCATCAAAAAAATTAACGAGAGAATTTGTTTCCATCACAAATTTCGTCAAAAATTAGCAATGAAATTTGTTTTTGTCGCAAATTCCGTTGCTAATCAACTGTTTTTTTATGGCAGTGAACAACCACTTAGAGTGTAAATGAATGGATGATGATAGTGTCCTCATATTGTCAATTAACAACCACAAAATGCCAAGTAAACAAAATAATAATCAATAATCACTGACAATCAACTGACCACAAGAATTCAAAACTAAAATATTCATATAAATATTTCAACATTAAACAACATCCAATCTAATTACATTGCAATAGTTTAAACACAAGATTTACAAATCCTAAATCAAGTCTTACAAATCTCTTAGTGGTTTTTAACAATGTTTTAAGACATGTCAATCAACTTTGATTAAAGTGAGTTTTCATTAATTAAAGCATTGAATCCAAGTGATCACCTGGGGCTTTTATCAGACTTAGAGATTTTGAAAACTCCCAATCAATTTAAAAGCAATAATATCTGAGTTTTCATCATCAAGAGTCTATCCTATCATACCTTCCTTTTAATCCAAAACATACCTTTATTTATTTAAAAAACAAAAAAGATTTACTTCTTTGCATTTTATATTTATTGCACCATTTTTTTTGAACAATTAAAACCTCTTTTTCTTTATCCAAATCAACATATATTTGATAATCAGTCTAATCTAGTTGTTCCCAATAAAGTGCTCATTGAAAAGAACGATTGGTGCAATCACAATTTTAATGACCCGAAAAACAATAATCCGGTCTAATCAAAATCTGGAGCACGTTAAGTAGATAGAAATGGATGGCCGTACGCCATTTCTTCCACAAGAAATAGTCAAAGACATTCTCATAGGGCTTCCGGTAAAGTCCTTACTCCTTACTACTCCGATTTTAATGTGTATGCAAAGATTAGAAAAATCTCTTCAGATCCCTTGTTTCATCGTAGACCACTTGCATCACTCTAGTCATCGAAACCCTTTTCTTCTTTTAAAATGTTGGATCCCATGTGATCTCTGTCACTATTGTTTGCTCTATGGCGAGATGGAAATCCAGGAACTTCATAAGATCACTGTTGAGAATTCTAAGTTCAAAGTCAGGAGCCTCATTTCCAATCATAAGTTTCATTCCCTTTTATTGTATAATCCGGTGAGTAGACAAGTCTAACAAGTGCCCCGATACCTTGAAAGATTTAGGAGTACAGAGTTCATGTAGGATTCGGGTTCAATCCAATTCTTAATGATTACAACATAGTGAAACTTTTTGTTTCTGCAGATGATGAAATGGTTAATAAGGTAGAAGGGTTTTCATTAAATATAAGGTCATGGAAGGAGGTAGAGGTTGGGAACTTAGGGGTTGTGAAACTTAAATATGGTGAAAGTTTTACTGCTAATGGAGAAAGTGTTTAAACAAAGTTTTACTATGAAAATAGTGTTATATTTAGGACCAGAGGAGTATCATAGTGCACAATTTCACCAAAAGGACTCAACAACTATAGATACAAAATGAGAAATTAATTTGAATTTATTTCCATCAAAAGTGTTTAAACGAAGTAAAATTTAGGAGTAAGGTTCTTTATCGTTGATGTTGCCAACTGATACAAGACTTTCCACATGATTAAAATTACCATGGACAAGGCCGGGGCCACATTTAATTCTAAACCTCTTAAACTCATTAGTAGTGAGATTGAGCAGATACAACCTTTTCTTTTCATCATCATCCCCATTCAAATAAAAAGGACGGAAGACAATCTCATTCTTCCAAATAGTCACTGGATTTAACGCGAGTGGACATAACTGGTCACAAAGGGTGCTAGCAGTATACTTTTTAGTCCAAATCCATCTTCCCCTTGATGCACATGTATCCTCCTCCATCACCCACAAATGAATCATATAAGATTCAGTAACAATAACCAAAGCAAGTTTGTTCTCATACACAGTAAGCCTTTTATTACTTCGTTTATATTCATATTTTAAAAAAGGCAATGCCGTCGAGATACACACTTGCTCGTGTCAAAGTTGTAAGTTGTAACCACGGATTCTCAGCCGATCAGTTGATTTTCATCCAAACGTCTGCCATAAAAAAGCAATAATAGATCATTATTGGTATATGCGTTGAAGAAGATCCCGCCTGAATTTCAGCGTCGTATCTACCCTCGCATTCCCTTCATTTTCATTTATTTCTTACTTAATATACGATGTTTTTTATTTAGAAGTTGCGTTCACATAAAGTTTTGAATTATTTTTAATAATATTATTATAAACGAAAATAATATTTAAATATTAATGCCATTCATTGAATTATAATCATCATTCTTATTCAAATTTCATGATTGTATTTGTGGACTCAAGAAAACTAAATTGCAAAAAAAAAAAAAAAGTAAGATATCATGATCCTAAATAATGGGAGATTTATTTGTCAACTAGGTAAGTTGTACGATTTTAAGCTTTCTTTACTTTAAAATTTAAAATACATATGAGAATGGGAAGATACGATAATAACCGTCTTGGAGATCGGGTGAATGTGAAATTGACTAACCGCTTCAAACGAAATCAATGGAGCCACACGAGTCAGTAATCTGGCAACAATCTGTTTGATGGAAACCTTTTTCCACTAATCTGGCCTTGTTACTTGTTCCATCCTGATTTTCTTTAGCTCTATTAGCCCATTTACACCCAACAATATATTTAGTTTCAGTTGAATGAACGTGCATGGGACCAATGTTTTGTACTCATTAAAGCTTCATATTCCTTTGCCAGGACTTTGAGTCTGATTTTAGGAGTTGTAAGGGCTTGAACATAAGTAGCAGTTAGGGAAATAACTGTAAGATCTTCAGGATATGTGAGTTAGAACCCACCACTCAAGTTATCGCTGGCCTCTACAAGCACTAAAGGCTCATCCCTGGTCATCTCAATCATGCGAAAGAGGCCAGGAGCAGCATGTTTGGCTAATTTTTCTATTATGAGGTCTCTGCTAATGTTCTAAAATGGGCCACAAACAACAAACATGAGACCTAACCCAAACTTTCTATCATATAAGAGAAAAAAAGCTAATTTGAATAGGACTATCAAATCAAAAGAGAACAAAGCTAAGAGGTCTTCCTATTTGATGACTCTGCTGCCGATGAATGCCAAAACTATTGATACGTTATTAATTCTTAAGATTGTTGGCAGCAATCTAGATCATTCTGTACTAAGGCTTGCTGTCCTCTTGAGATGTTATGTACCAAACGTTTCTTGCTTTTTATTTCACTTGTAAGTTCTGGTTGTTCGTCTTTCTTCTAAAGATGGATATTTAATTTAGGTGTTTTGTGTGTGGCTTATCTGGTGCTTTTTGTCCAGGTAATATGTATGCATAATTGAGTAGTTATTCTATCTTGCAAGTGGATGTACTCCTCGAACTATTGGTGTATCAGAACAGTATCTGGTTTTTGGAATCTGGGCATGAAGTTTTCAGTCATCCATGTAGTGATTTTTATGTGCTCGAGACATTGTCACTTCCTGTGTGTGTTTTCTATGAGCATTATTTGTTTACTTACTGATTTTTCAATTTTATTTTCTGATCATCTACAATGATCTCAAACTAAAAAGTATATCAAAATTTTAAATTTTATGATATTGACGGTTACTCATTATCACGTGAACACTTGTCTAAAATGAAAACCCATCCTATCGTCTGTGTTGATTCTTGTGTTTCATTTTTGTATAGTTTCTTTTATCATTACATACTCTGTAAATTTAGAGTATGTTGATTATCTTATATTTTTCTGGACTTCTTTTTTTCTTGGAATTGAAAGTTTTTTTTAAAAAAAAAGCTTGAAAGAAGAAAAGAAGACAGAAACTTAGGATAGATGATCAAGACACAAGGTCTGTAGGTAAATCAGCACATGAAAGATCCTCTCGGTACACTTGCCAGGTATCCCAGAGCATTATTCTGATATGTTCAATGAGTTATTTTGCAGGATGGAAATTTGGACTGTCTCACAAAACCAAGTTGAGAGGTTCAATTGAATCATTGTATGACGTCCCCTTTCTTGTAGTTACTTCTTCTGCTCAGTTGGAGATCTGTATGAATATCTTATATTTCCTGGTAAAGCAAGATTTAATGAAACGTTGTGCTGCCAAAATTCCTCGACATCAGATTTACTTCGTTTTCCTTATTAGTTAACTTGACAAGGTCATGTATTCTTAACATAAATTTTTTTTCTCCTTATTCACAGTAATTATCATTATACTACATTCAGTTCTAATTATAAGAGCTAGTTGACTAATTTGAGGAGATTAAGGAAGTAAGTTGAGTTAGTTATTTGTCCTAAATGGGTGTTATTTTTCCTAAAATATCCTTGCTAATCAAGTATACTGACTAGAATTATCATTGTTAGAAAGGCTATTTTAGAAAAAAATGTATAAATATGAGAGATAAAATAGATTGGCTTCTTATATTTAGAATAAAAATAAAAGTCAAACAGGGTCTTATATTAAGGACTGGAGGTAGTATATTGTATCGTTTGTGTTTTTGGGGACACAGGGATGCGTTTTTGAGCCATCCATGTACCTTGGTGCAATGATCAATGGATACAATGTCACCAAAAATGTTCTATGAATGTCATATGTGGATACATGAAGAAATTGGGTTACTATGCTATTGAAGTATCGCTGCTCGGGATCTACAAAAAAAAAGAAAAAAGTCAGTGGCCATTTCCGTGGGAGATCAATGAAAAAGAAAATTAACAAGGAGTGCGTGTCATATTTTTAAGATAATATGATAGTACAGGATATTTTATTACCAAGCTGTTAGTTGAGATGGTAGGTGATTTTACTTCGTAAAAAAAAAATTTGTTTCATAGAAAACGCACGAGGATTTTCATTCTAATTCTAAAAATAAAATGAGATATAATTCAATTGCCCATGTCTGGCATGTGTTTAAAATCTTGCTGTCAATAATATTTATTTGATATAAAAGAAAAATAAGAGAAATATTTGAATAAATCATAAATGCTATTTGATATTGAAATTTCATTATTTGAAAGAAAAACATTTCATCATTTATTTTTAAGTTAACGATAAAAAAAATTAGTTTAAAATTAAACTGTAAGTACTTATTTAATTTTTATGTGCATAAAATTAACTAAATCTTAAAATTTGAATTGCTAACATACAAATTAATAAAATTAAAGAAATAAAATGAAATATACCTTAAGGATTAAATAAACATTTTCACGAAAAGTTTATAAATTACATATTTCTATGCGCATTCATTCTTTTTCCCTAACAGAATTATAAAATCATACTCAAAATAAAACTTGATTAGAGAAGATAATGGGAGAAAATGAAAATCATAGCAGATATATTCTTATAGTGATATTAAATTAGATATCCAAATAATTAATAACAAAAATATCATAGATTACTGATAATAAATTATATGAAATTTATTTATGATATTCATAATCTCTTAGTCGCGTATAATAGTTTAAAACACAATAATTATATAGATATATTTTTATGTTATTATCTTTTTAGTTAGATGTAATAAGTGCAACAAAAAAATTAAAATCAATTTTAATTTAAGTATATCATAGTCTCTAACTAATTTAAAGTTAGTTACCAAGTCAAATTTGTAAAGCACAGTATAACAGAAAAGATACCCTAAACCATATGATCGGATTTGAATCAGTCATGTTTGATATTTGACGTTGAAATTTCGTTATTATTTTAGGTTCATGATAAACAGTTAGCTAAAAGTTAAATTGTAAGTATTTAAATATTTAGAAAGAATACCACTTGAATAAATTTATTTATTTAACCAAATATAAAATATTTAGCATGTAATGTTTAAATATTAGGAAAATTAATCTTTCACATACGTAGTAGCTGAGCTGGAAGCCACGAATTGATTAGTCAAGTACCATTAGGATAAGTAATTGATGAGTTAGATAGAATTATGTATAGAAAGGATTAAATTATTAAATAAACAAAGTTTAAGGACTGATTTTTAAGAGAGCCAAAAGTTCAGAAATTAAGTTAGACTAAGTTAAACTTGAAGCGCTAAAAAATTTTTTTTCCCTCAAAAATATTTATTGATATACAGATATTGGCCTAAATAACAGGCTTCCCATCCTAAATATAAGACTTTTTCATGTAATTTACACGTCGGAATAATATAAAACAAAAACGATTTATTCATACGAGAACTACTCCAAGTAAACGAGGGAAGTTGCAAGCTCTAGCACCGATGGACGGCGACACCCCATTTCTTCCCCAAGAAATCATCACAAACATTCTCATACGACTTCCTGTAAAATCGCTATTTCAATGCGCGTCCAAACAATGGAAAAATCTCATCAAGACTCCATCCTTCATCGGAGAGCATCTCCACCATTCAAGTAATAAAAAATCTTGTCTGCTTTTGCAAGGAAGACATCGGATGCATCTATATTTGCTCAACCGCAAGTTGCAAGTCCTTGAATTTCTGAGAATGTATGACTTGTGGTGTGATAAAATCAGCGGTTCCAGCAATGGCTTGCTCTGTGTTGAAATAGACAAGTATGCTATGTCTCCTTCTTCCCTTTTATTGTGTAATCCAGCGACTAGAGAGGTTAGAAATGTTCCTAGAAGCAGAACTATGGATGGTTTTAAGGGTATTTGCTCTTTAGGATTTGGTTTTAGTCCAGTTATCAAGGAATATAAGATAGTCAGAACTTATGCTGCGCAGTTTAATACAGAGGTGAATCGAGTGGAAGTGTACTCATTAAGCACAGGGTCATGGAAAGAAATAGAACCGGTCAACTTGAAGCGAATAGCTCGAATTTTTTATGGGGAAACTGTAAAACTTTTAATGGAGCTGTGTATTGGACTGGATCAAAGCTACCTGTGGGGGAAGACAAAATTTTTGTGGTAGTTTCCTTTGACATAGCAAGGGAAGTGTTCACCTTGTTCCCATCGCCTGCTTTAGATAATAATCAAATGATAAGTTTACTGCGTGTGACAACAAACTAGCTATTATTAGTGTCACTGTGATGGGAACATCTGGGTCTTCTTTTGTTGATTTGTGGGTGACGGAGGAGGGTAGAGGTGAATTAGAGGAGGGATGGACTTAGACTAAGAAATACAGGAGCAGCACCCATCGATTCTATTTACATCCAGTGACCTTTTGAGGGAATGACATTGTCTGCAATGTAAGTGAACTTCAAGTGAAGAATCAGAAGCCAGAAGCGAGTTGTGAGTTAGGGATGTTAATTATCCATGGCTGTTTTTTTGGTATTTTCGATTACGTGGAAAGCCTTATACCAGTCAATTCGCAGAATGGAAGTTCTTATATGCTAAATCTTAGTTATTGCATTGTAGCTTTGCTTTTCTACTCCTTTTTAGTGGAATCCCTGATACCCTTTGGAGATGTTATATATAATGATGAACACAGATATTCAGCTATCTATAATATCAGGTTGTTCTGTTTTCTTTCGTATATGAATATGTAATAATTTAGTTTTTGGTGTGTGGGTTATGTGGGACTAGGTGTCTGTGTAATATACTAATTATTTTATATTATATGAAAAGGAAGAAAAGCAAGTGAAGCAAATTTTGAAGCCACTAGTTTGTGTAGTTAGTATTACATACAACCTTGACTCGCAGTCAAATTTTGATTAGTTATACATTCTTTAGATATTTTCTGTCTTAAAATAATGAAGATATTCTTCTTTGTAAAGATACCACTTGCTACAATTTTTGTTATTTGTATCTCACCATTCATTCTCCTATTGGGGGGGGGGGGAGTTATAATCAATGATGTGGATTTATCACCACAAGACCCAAAGGAAAGGCATTTTAGCAGGAGAAACATGATTAACTATGTTGTGGCTAAGATTTGAGCCTTGCTTTTAAGCCCCTTGCCTATAACACAAGTCAAATTCACTTAAAAGAGACATGCTTTTACCCTACTGTTATCAATCTAAAAGGCATCTGATTATCGTGAACTTAGTATAAAACTTTTGTGGGAATCTGAGCTGGACAATGTTGCTTGTGAGCAGTAATAAATCAAATTAATCTATATATTTTGCTGGAACCTGTTCCTGTTACACATGCTTGGTTGTTGTAATATATTGCAGCAATGATATAAAACGAAGGTAAGTCATTGTTTTGTTTCTCTTTGGAGTCAAAAGTTAAGAAAGTGTTCCCTCGTTTCTTTTTGGTTTTGAATATGAAATGTGGAGATGTGTGGTTCGTTGCATGTATTTCAACTGATATGGATATCTTAACATCAGATTTCAATACCATTTGCCTGTAATTGAAGGCAAGGAGCAATTGTCTGTAACGAAGCAATTTTGTTCTGGTCATTCAATATCTGCTTTAAATGTGCTGCTATTGTTGTCTTTTGTGGTCACTTTGTGCTGGCGTATCTGTGTGATGATCACCCCTGTAATGGGGGGAAATCTGGTGAATATATATTTACAATTAATGTTCAGTCATAGGCTACTGGAAGAAATTACAGGGAGAAGAGGAGAAATATTCAGAGAGAAAAGAAGAAGGTGGCAGAGAGAAGAGACACAAATTCCACACTTTTCTCCTCAACATTAATGTTCACTTTATACCACCTTAAAGCAAGTCTTCTTCATAATTTGCCTCTTGGTCCCCTCCCACCATTAAAACCTAAAGCTTGCTTATGACAATCTGCTTGTGATGGTGAGGTATTAAATTTTAATCGTCAGCTGATATCTGGGGCTGAGTTCTCATGCTACACTTCTTGTGCTGAGCAACTTCTACCAAACGCTGTTTGTGTTCTTGTTCAACATTTTTGGTTTCCTCAGCTTGTATAATGAAGTATAGAAGCATTGGAATTTTTTGTTAAAATTTGACACACTGTCCTGTTTCAGTTAATTGTTTGAATGCACAGCTCTTGCACCACTAATCAAGGCCTGCCAAGTAGGATGGTGCATGACACGTCAATGTCCATAACTTGAAACTCTACTGTGAAAGTACTTGGCCAATTTTTAATTGCACGAGTTAATGCCCTTACAACCACATTACTATGCTCCCTGGAAGATGCAGCAGTAAGTAAATGTTTCATGAAAGGAGGTGAAGAATTTAAGGCAAAACTTTGGTAAAAAGCATTAAAAATGAGAGTAAGAATTGAGATTGGGATTAAAAAAAATATATTAAAAGAGTGTTTAGTATGAGTGATTGTTTATTACTTGGGATTAGATAAATCCATATATATGGGGCTTAGGAATATCATGGAGAGATGTGATATTCCCTAATCCTACTCACATGAGATTGCCTAATCTTATGTAGCAAATAATTACTCATAATAAATACTCTTTAATGGTTTTTTTCAATTCCAATCTCAATCCCAATCCCTGCTCTTTATTTTCAATGCTTTGTGGCAAACGTAATCTATAATTCCTTAATCACATTCCATACTCACATTCTCGTTTTATTCCAAACTGATATTTCTTCTTCGATGGATTCCAGTCTGAAAATAATCCTATGAAACTCTTCAATCGCATGAACCTTACCACACATCGAACTAAAAATGAAAGTTAGGATTGTAAAAGACTGAGAAGCATTATTGGAGGGAAAGAATGCCTTAATTAGAGCTAAATAAGTAATGAATATTTTAATCACTACAGTGCAAGAAAACAAACAATCATTGTAGATTACAAAACTAATTGGAGAGGACAAAAAATCTTTATACAAGAAATATGCTATTGGGGTTTACAGATTGAAGGGATTGAAATTGATGCATTGGAAGACTTGAATAAACAATTTGATTTTGATGCTGAAGTTGGGGTTCAACATTAGGATTGGTGATATCATGGATGCTTCTTCTTCTTCTCTTTTTTTTCCCTTTGTTGATTTGGTGGTCGAAGAACTTCTGAGCATGGCTAGCAATCTGAATTGGAGTCCTTGTCTTCACAACATTTTCAGAAATTTTCTTCCAATTTCCCTTCCCATATGTTTGCAATCCAATAAGAAATAACCTATAATTAGAAAACAAGAGAAAATATATTAGGACATTATTTATGTTAAAAAAAACAATATCAAAGAATTGAGAAATTTTCAATGCTTGCACATACCTGTGTTCTTCCTCAGTCCACGACTTTCCCTTGTTGATATCGGTATGAACATTACTTGGTGCCCCTGAGTTAAACAAAGGTTGATGCACCAAGTGTTGCCTATTAAAGAGCGATGAAAATTCAAGGGATGCCTGTGGCAGCAACTGATCATGATGTGGTTGTGGATTATATTGGTGTATGGGACGAACTGAAGAAGCAATGTGATTTTGAGGAGTTGAATGTGCATGAAAAGGATTAGATGATGATGAAAATTCTGGGAATATGGGCATTAGATTTGGTTGCAAGTGGACCATTTCGGGTTGCATGTAAGGGGTGGTCTGTGTGATATTTTGTTGCAGGTTAAACTGCTGGTTCAGTATTGGAGATGTCATTTGAACAGGAAAGCTTGAAGGAACTTGTGATCGGTTTAATTCATTCATTGGATGGGGCTGATGATGAACTTGAACATTATGGGGAATTGATGAGGTGAACTGACCGGTTGGTAGTGACTGATTCAGTGGAATATTTGAAAGACTTTGTTGGTCAACTGGATATATTGAAGTAACAGTGTCAGTTTGAGGAGTTGAACCAGAAATATAATCCATAGAGTTCAGCATCTCTAGTCTGCTATTATTGTATTGCTCAGCATTAATGGATACTTGAATTGGTGTATTTGTCACCATCTCTAGTCCTTGTCCTTGTAAGACTTGTCTGCTGCAAAAGAATAGCATATCATGAAAATATTAGTGGTTATATTATATACTTCCGTGTTGCTTATAATGTAAATAAAACAAATTTGAGTAGATTATAAAAGCTAAATAAATTGTTTATTTCTAATAACAGTGATATAGTTTTCTTAAAATATTTTTGTATAACATTAGACTATACAATAGTTTATAAGTTAGATAAATTAGTTTGATGATTAAGAAAATAAATTAATTTGACAAATAATATTATATATATATATATATATATATAAGAGGTTGAGTTAAGATCTTCCCACCTTTAGAATGGAAGGAATAATAATAAATGATATGGTATTAAGTAAACAAATAAATTAGAATTTCCAAGCATTTTACTTGCAAAGTTTGTTACCGGTTTTAAAAAAGCAAGAAGAGTCAAATTGACTCACCATATGATGTTGTAATTTTCTTTATTATTCCCATCATGTCACCTATATGAGCCCTCTTTAAGTTTTATTATAACAAAAAGCAATTATGATCATTAATATACCAATATAAAAGGATTAAATACATTTTTCTACCTCTACTGATTAAGCAATAAAAATTTGTAAAAGTATCAATTACATAAACATGTTGACTAGAAACCACTCTCATCTAGTTCTCAAATCAATAAAAAGTTTTTTCTTCTATTTATTATTTTCTTTTCGAAAATTTCTTAGCAATATAACCAAATATATTCATAAAACAATTCACTCAATCAAAAACACTCAAAAGAAAAACATGAGAAAATTGAAAAAAAAATTCAATTGAAAGTTGTCCATGTACGTACCTGTTGTGTTCTTCCGAAGTACGTGACATTTTCATTTGCGGCTCTGAGTTCAATATGATTTGATACTCCGAATAGCAGTTGGAGGGCCAAGTGTTTGAGCATGTGGAAGGTACTAAGGCCTGACTTGCTTCATTCTCTGGCACATCGGCGGCAGCGGCGATGACGGTGGTGCCGTCCAGATGTTGCTCTTCTGGATGCCGGACATATACATGATGCTCCAGCACGTCGCCGGCAGTGATGGTTGTAGCGTCTAGCAGTTGCTCTTCAAGATGCCGAACATATGCATCATTCTCTGGCACATCATCGACATCCGTCGTAGTGTTTAACAGTTGTTCTT